CTGAGCTCCTGTCAGCCCCGGCACATGGGACCTTCCTGGTGCATGGACAATCAGTTGCCCAAATCTCGTTGTTGCTACCCGTTCTGTGATGTGGTTTCCCCCTAATTTGTTGGGGGGACAGCGTTTCGGTATCAGGCCGGCAAGGCATCCTCTCGGGGGGCCAGGCAGGAAAGGGGGGCCCAGCAGACGGAGGCGATGCTAGTTCACTCTGCCGCATGCCCGGGGCCCGGCCTCACCTCCCAGGAAGCTCACAGTCCTGCCCGGCAGGAGGCTCGATATCGGGTCAGCCGCTGGGGACCAGTTACCTGAGGCTGGTCTGGAAGGGCCAGGGCTCTTCTCTGTCAGCCAGCCCTGCGTCTCCTGATGCAGACGGCACCGCTCGCTCAGGGAGGCAGCGCCAGCAGCATCCCAGCGGAGCGAGCCTCCCCCGTGACCAGGAGCTGCTCGAACCCTGTGCCCAGGGCCAGCTTTTGAAACACAGGGCCCGACTGGCCTCTCCTGAGACGGAATCCCAGGCTCTGGGGACTGTCAGGGCACAGGAAAATCAGCTGCACAAATCTCATTATTGCTAATAGTTTCGCAGTGTTGTTTTCCCCCTAATTTGTAGAGGTGCTTTTCTCCATCATTGATTTATTGAGATATTTAGCAGCGTAATACAAATGAGAAAAACAATGCGCAGTGGAGACGCGCAATGGAGGCGTCCGCGGCTGCCAAGTCCTGTGGTACCCACTGGTGCTCGAGCTGCAGATATTGGTGTGGGGAGGTAGTGCAGCGGATTATAACTGCGGAATATGCCGACTTTGCAAAGGCAAAATTAAACAGAATAAAATCCAAACATTTGCTTCCGTTAAGTCAGAAAGAAATTTCCCTGGTATGACCCACCCTCCCCCACCCCACACACACACACATTTTTTTTAGTGTCAGTGGATTCCCTAAATAAATCGTTCTGTGTGGAGATTCTCTATCAATATTTTAAAATATTTTTATGAGAAATGCACACAATTCCTGGAGCTGTGACACAGCGGTTAAAATAAAATGTGGCCCGCAGCGGATGGCAGAGGAAGGAGTCGTCTTTCCCCGAGCAGCAGGGGCGCGTTCCAGGAACACGAGCGCAGAGAGCAGCCGCCGCACAGGTGGCCACACCTCAGAGACAGCTGGAAAACCCTTCCCCCCCTCCGGTCCCTTCGTGTCAGTGATTGAAGGCATCACCCAGTTTATGGAGGTCTGCTTTCTGTCCTTGGTCTCTCACAGCATAAAACTAGACGCAAAACACAGTGCATCCAGCATGGACAGTCCTCGGAACAGTGGCTGGTTCCTAGTCGGCACTAAATGAAATCCTGGTGCTTATTACACGTGCGAAGTCTGCATGTGCCAGGCTCTGCGAACGATCGTGGGACACGAGGGTGGACAGGCCGAGGGGTGAATGGACGCCTGGTAGGGAAGTGGGCGGTCCGTCAGGAAGTGTTGATGGGATCTGTTGAAATCTTGAGAAACGTGGAACACTGTGGCGCACAGACAGGGAGGCGTGGCGAGTGTTCTGGAAGCCTGTGGATTGGCGTATGGGGTGCGGACAAGGCTGGCCTGGAGGAGATGAGACTGAAGGGGTGAAGTGGCCAGGCTGGCTTTCCTCTCTGCCCATGGACTAGGAATAGCTCAACAAGAACAGATGGCCCCTCTGATTCCCTGATGGCAGGAACAGGGCCCGAGTATTTGTGCTCTGGAGTGTTTGTGGGGGGATGAGAGAGGGCAGAAGAGGGGGACACAACCCCCTGCCCCCGTCCCTCAGGCTGCAGAGTGGCCTGTGAAACGCCCGCGCGGTCCTGGCCCTTCTGACCCGAACCCGCCCAGGCCCGGTACTGCTGTAGCCATCTTGCAGCTGTACAGGCTGCAGTATTTTAGGAAAAAAGGCTTCCGCCGCGGCTTGCGACTTTGAAGTTGTAAATGATAATGGGTATCTTGATGAGAAACGACGGTGAACGTGAATACGGAGAGGTAAATCGTCATTGTGCTGCCGGAGATTTGTGGCTTTAAGATCTCATTCGCGTCCATTCCCTCATTAACCTATGGCTGTGAGGGCTCGGCCCTCCGTGAGCCCCGCCGTGTACACCGGCAGTTCCTGCTGTTTACCCTGGGGCTAATCCGTTGGAGCCGATCTGGCTTTGCAGGGTATTCTGGTTCACCCTCAGTGTGGCCGAGGCTGCCGGCTGGTGTGCGGGCATAGTCACAGGGCCTCTCCTTGTGAGATCCCCGCTCACCCTCAGTGTGGCCGAGGCTGCCGGCTGGTGTGCGGGCATAGTCTCAGGGCCTCTCCTTGTGAGGTCCCCGCAGCTGGGCCTGGGCAGGAGTGCTGCCCCCCAACGAGCGCTGCCCCATGGGCCGCCGCCAGTAGAAGCCTCCGTTCTGCTGTGTAAACTGTGCACTGCTGGCCACTCTGAGCACTTGAGGACCAGCGGCTTCTGTCACCCTGGAAACCAGGCGATGCTGTGGCTGAGTTGGCCGCAGCCACACTGCAGAGGGCACAGAGAGGCTGAGCGCTCCGCCCTTGGCCACACAGCTGACTGGCAGGGCCAGGCGCATGCCTCGGCCCCGGTGGCCGCTGGGCAGTGGTGTGTGGCCTGGGTGACAGCTCCGCTGGTCACATCCTCTCTGCCTCAGAACCAGACACACTTGCTTCTCCCCTCGTCTCTGCCGAAGATCATCCAGCTTTGACCTCAGTCCCATTGATGTTCTTCTGAATGGCAGGCTGTCAATGAGTCCCGTGTGTTCTGCTTGTGTTTACCGTGGCGAAATACACATAACATGGAACTGCACAGTTCCAGGCAGGAAACACATTCGGTGTGCGGCGACCCTCACCACCACCCGTCTCCGTGCTGGGCCTGTATCCCCGGGAACGCCAACGCCGCCGTCAGCTCCAGGCCCTGGCACCTGCCGCTTTCTTCTGTCTCCGCGCCCCTGGCTCCTCGTGGCCTGCGTGGGGGGTCCCCAGGTCTTGGCCCTTCGCCGCTGTGTCACCGCACAAGCACAGGGTCCTGGAGGCCAGTGCACGTGGCAGCAGGCACAGACCCGGCGGTGCGCACCCGGCCACCCGGCCCCCAGCACCAGGGTCGTTGCTAACATCTGGTTCTTGAGATTGTGTGGCTGCAGATGTGGGCGTACGGCATCTATTCAAGGATGACTGTTATTTGTTAAATTTGTATTGAGGGCTGGCCTTGTGGTAGAGGGGTTAAGCCACCACCTGTGTCGCCGGCATCCCGTCGGAGTGCTGGTTTGAGCGCTGGCTGCCCTTCAGTCCCTGCCAGTGTGCCTGGGAGAGCAGCAGCGGATGGAGCAGATGGCCCAAGTGCTTGGAGCTGGACAGAAAGCCGACTTTGGCCTGGCCCAGCCCCTTGCCGTTGCAGGCATTTAGGGAGTGAACCCAAGCTCGCGCTCTCACCCTCTTTTTTTAAAGATTTATTTATTTATTTGAAAGAGTTACAGAGAGAGAGAGAGAGAGAGAGAGAGGGAGACGTCTTCCATCCGATGGTTCACTCCCCAATTGTCCGCAACAGCCGGAGCTGCGCCAATTCGATTCTTCCAGGTCTCCTACACCGGTGCAGGGGCCCAAGGACTTGGGCCATCTTCTTCTGCTTTCCCCGGCCACACAGAGAGCTGGATCGGAAGTGGAGCAGCCGGGACTCAAACCCGTGCCCATATGGGATGCCGGCACTTCAGGCCAGGGCGTTAACCCGCTGCGCCACAGCACCGGCCCCTCTCTGCCTTTCTTTATCTGTAATTCTGCCTTTCAAATACAGAAATCTTTAATAAATAAATAAAGTTTTTGCTAGATTTGGTGGCACCTAGGCGTGGAAGAGCTGACCTCAGGGCAGGTTTGACAGAAATAGCTCTAGCGGGTGCTGAGCAGCCCACGCTCGGCCTCAGGGACAGCCTCGTCCCGACGTTCCTTCCCCTCAGAAACCCAGTGCCAAGTCCTCAGCGTGAGCACGGGCCCAGGCTGATCCCAGGAGTGCAGCGCCCCCTGTCTGCCATGGCGCCCCTATCTGCCACAGCGCCCCCTATCTGCCACGGCGCCCCCTATCTGCCGCAGCACCCCCTATCTGCTGCAGCACCCCTTATCTGCCGCGGTGCCCCCTATCTGCCGTGGTGCCCCCTATCTGCCATGGCGCCCCCTATCTGCCACGGCATCCCCTATCTGCCACAGTGCTCCGTATCTACTGCTGTCCAAGCCGCAGTGCCCACTATCTGCCACGGCGCCCCCTATCTGCCACAGCACTCCGTATCTACTGCTGTCCAAGCCGCAGCACCCACTATCTGCTGCAGCGCCCCCTATCTGCCGCGGCGCCCCTATCTGCTGCGGCATCCCCTATCTGCTGCGGCATCCCCTATCCGCTGCAGCGCCCCCATCTGCTGCAGCGCTCCGTATCTACTGCTGTCCAAGCTCCTTTACTGGGGAGGAGGCCATCGAAAGCCACGCTCGGAGCACAGCAGCTCCTGCCCAGCCCACGTGGGACCCCCACGCTGAGCTGCAGCCACTGGTCCAAGGAGCTGTGGCTTCCAGGGTTCACCTTGACCCCTTGCTGGATTGTGGCCGCCAGGGAGGATGCGGTGGGACACACAGGCGCTGCAGAGGACAGCTGGCGACCGGCAGGGTGGCCACAGCAGTTGTCAGTGGGTCAGTGTGGGGGCTGAGAGGGTCCGCAGCAGGCGTGTGCACAGTGGGCAGGGAAGGCAGCCACGATTTCCAAAGGTGAGGTCAAGTCGGGAACCATAGGAGGGAGTGGAGAGCAGTGGGGTGAGAACCGTGTGGAAGGGGCCACCCAGCACCCACTCTGGCGGCCTGTGGATGAGGGAGCAGCTCTCGTCCCCCCCACCACCACCCTCACCAGCCCTGATGCCTGCATCAGACGCCCTGGCCCAGGGCAGGGGTGGCGTCCAGGGGCCGAGTCTTGTGTCCAGGAGAAAACCCGTGTTCACCTCGCTCCATCTTGTGGCCCCCGTTGCAGATGAAGGCCTGTGGGACATGTTTGCCAAGGACATCCCCCGGAGCGCCACGTCCTACACCGTGAGCCTGGACCAGCTGCGACAGGGAGTGACCTACGAGTTCCGCGTGGTGGCCGTGAACGAGGCGGGCTACGGGGAGCCAAGCAGCCCGTCCACTGCTGTGTCAGGTAGGACCCTTCCAGGAGGGCCAGGGCCCAGGTGAGCGGGGTCAGCCAGGGGCAGACGAGGGCGCTCCCGAGTCTACAGCTTCCCCAACGTGGCCAAGAGGCCGCCTAGAGAAAACGCGGCGGGGAGAGCAGTGCGGGTCCCGGGCACCTGCCTGACCACCACCTTCGACCCAGGGCCAGCTCTCCACAGGCAGGACCCCAGGCCCTGGAGCCGCCAGCGAGGGCCTCTGCAGATTTCCCTGCCGTGCTGGGCTCAGGCAGGGAGCTGCGTGGGATGTGGGCAGTGCAGACGAGGCCCCGCAGCCACTGGGCGCCCCTGAGACAGTGCAGGAGCCCGGGGCTGTGGGCGAATGACAGATGGAGGCACTGGGCCTGCATCATCCGCCGGGCCTTGCTTCCCACTCCCGTCTCTTGCACGACTGCTGGCCCTGGGTTCTGCTGGGCGTGACAGTGGAAAAGGCGTGGCAAGCTGTCTGCCCTGGAGTTGGCGTGTCTGTGAGGCAGCAGACGCTGCTGTGAGGGTGGCCCTGGGGCAGACTTCCACAGAGGCAGACGGGGTAGCTGGTGACAACGTGGCCCTGACCAGCCGGCCTGGCAGGAACAAGTCCCAGCTCCAGCTGCAGCCCAGGCTCGCGTGGAAGAGTTTAGGAATCCCCCTCCTGGGGCCCCCAGCAGACCATGATGTCAGCCACCCCAGGGCAGGGCTCTGGGCCTCATTGTCTGTAACTCCTTGGTGATTCTAAGGGGCAGGCAGGCCCCTGGCCTGGGTGCTGGGGGCTACAGTGAGGGGTGGGCTGCAGCGTGGCCCCAGGAAGGCATTTGATTAAGGAGAGCCGACAGCAGCGGCTGAGAGGATGTTTGGGGCCTGGCGGGCAGCGTGGATGCCAGAAGCTGGGAGAGGCTGTGCCAGGTCAGCGTCACCGCCCCCACCCCCACCCCCCCAGCCCAGGGGAGGCTGCCTCATCCCCTGCACTGAGATCGGCCTGAGCCGCCGAGTGCGGCAGCGCAAGCTGGCGACAGGACCCTCCTTCCTGTCCCTGTGGCTGGGGAAGGGTGGCCCCGCTCCAGGGCCTGGGCCTGTGCACCCCTCGCCTGGAGCGCAAGGCACCCAGTGGGCTGAGGCCGGGAGGAAGGGGCCGGGGGCCGCTTGAGTTTTTAAGAAAATTCACGAAGTTCTCAACTTTTATCATGAAAAATTTGAATATACCCCAAAGTAGAGGAAATAGGATGTGGGACCCCCACTCAGCGCCTTGCCTCATGGGAGCCGTCTCTGACATACGGCTCCGCCATCAGCAGCTCATGACAGCCTGGTCCCTCACCCTGCGCTGGGGGCCACGTGGCACGCACGTTTCTCTGAGACTCCGTGGCACCCACAAGCTGGCCTTGGCTGCCAGCCGGGCTGTGGTCAGTTGGTTACACCCGTCAGAGAAGCCCGACCCCAGCCGTGTGGCGTGGGAGCATCCTGCCTGCCCGGAGGGCCCTGTGGGACAGCCGTGGCCTGCCACACACCCGACCCACGCCATTATGGTCTGCTTTCAGGCAATGGGCTTAAGGTCTGTCAGATTTACTGTGAGGAGTATTTAATGCAGTCTGCAAACCTGCTTATCTTTAGGATTCTAAGTACTGCCACCTCCTAAGAAACCCCATGCCATCACAGTACCCAAAGCGAATCCCCACTGTGTTCCCTGCACGCGCACATCCATCGTTTGCTCAGTGAGATCCTTAGAGTGAGGTGGATGAGCGCGCAGCGGGTGTTAGCGGCGGAGAGCAGCCCTGGGCTGCAGCCGGAAGGGGCTGCCCAGTCCAGACCTCTGATGCCTTCCAGCCAGCAGCCCCGTCGGGAGGCACACGCAGAACACCCAGCACCCACCGAGCAACAGTTTCCCATTTTCCTGGTCTTAGCACACAGAATGAAACGTGAGGAAGGACCGGACCCTTCCAGAAGGCGGCTTTTAAACAAAACCCTTTCTGTTCATTTCTCAAAAACACTTTGAAGAAGGGGCCAGCAGTTCAGCTCAGTTCCGCTGCAGGCACGAAAGAGATGAAACCCAGCCCGGCGTGAGGGCCCGGCCGCAGCACACAGGCTGCCGGCAGACAAGCACCCGAGGAGCCCCGTGACGAGCCGGCTGGAGCTGGGAGCCGGCGGAGCTGAGCATGGCGGCGGCGGCAGTCGCTCTCCGGGGCCTGTGGGAGCCAAGGAAGGGTCTCAGGAGAGAGCAGGGCTTAGGACAGATGGGAGGGAGAGGGAGAGAGGCGACGCCATCCGGACTTGGCCTGCAGAGCTGAAGGCCAGAGGTGGGGATGGAGGAGGGAGGCTCTCGCAGCTGGCCCCGGGGGTGAGAAGGGGGTTGGGAGCTCTGTGCACCTTCCTCGCGTTAACCAGACGCTGCTTTCCAGCAGATAAAACCAGGGGACACAAGCAGAAGGGGCAGCTTTGATGGCAAGGGTGGGTCTCCAGGGCAGAGGGTGGCCTGGGGGACAGAAGAGGCCCCAGCTTACTCCATGGGAAAGGTAGGCAACCCCCAGAGCCTGGACTCGTGGGACAAGAGCCGCTCAGCTGGAACTGGACAGCGGCTCTGTCCTCCCTGCAGCCCCAGGTTTTTCACCACACCCTGTGCTGTGGTCTGTGCGGGAAGGCGGGTGCCTGGGGCCCCTGTCCCACGTGGCCGTGTCTGGGCTCCTGTCCCACGTGGCCGTGTCTGGGCTCCCGTCCCACGTGGCCGTGTCCGGGCTCCCGTCCCACGTGGCCGTGTCCGGGCTCCATGTCCCACGTGGCCGTGTCCGGGCTCCATGTCCCACGTGGCCGTGTCCGGGCTCCCGTCCCACGTGGCCGTGTCCGGGCTCCCGTCCCACGTGGCCGTGTCTGGGCTCCTGTCCCACGTGGCCGTGTCTGGGCTCCTGTCCCACGTGGCCACGTCTGTGTCTTCCGCAGCTCAAGTGGAGGCGGTATTCTACGAGCAGTGGTGGTTCCTCCTGGTGATGGCTCTCTCCAGCCTGATCATCGTCCTGCTGGTCGTGTTTGCCCTGGTCTTGCACGGACAGACCAAGAAATACAAGAACTGCAGCACAGGTGCGGTGCTCGCCTTCCCTTCCCCGCCCCCGAGCGGCCCTGGCACGTTGGCCTGTTCCTCCCCCCTGGATTGGCCACGCCAACAGTTGTTTTTCTGTCTGGAGGCAGCAGCCAAGCAAAACCAGAGCCGGACATCAGCGACCAGGCCTCTGTGCAGCCACTGCTGGGTTAACCCAGCGTCGCAGACGAGGCGCTGGGGGCACGTGGTCTCTGAGTCTGTTCCCCCACCTCACTGTTGCTGTAAGACAAGTGTGTGTTGGGATGTGGTTGGGGAGTGTCGAGTGTTAGGTGAACTGCTGTTGCTTACCGTCAGGAAGGCAGGGAACCGGGGACCAGCACAGACAATGCGGCATGGCTGTGGTTCACAGCCCAGCTCATAGCTCTCTGAGGCCCGTCTCCTGTTGTGTTGTCCACACAAGGCCCACACGTGGCAGAGTGGACTCCGGTCAGTGGGCCTGCAACTCCCCTGTAGGGCAGTGAGCAGACGGAAGTGAGCTGGGACGGCGCATCGTGCTGACCCCGTCTCCATAAAGGTCAGCTGCAGCCGGAAGGCATGGATGCTTAGGGAAGGGGTAGAAGGCGGAATCCTTACGGGCACCGTGTGCCCCGGTGCAGGGGGCGACTGCACACAGCCGGCTGCGTGACGCCAGACACCTGGCGTTAGTGCACAGCGTGCATTTTACTCCTGTGGTTTTTTTTTTTTTTTTTAAGATTTATTTATTTATTTGGAAGAGTTACACAGAGAGGAGAGGCAGAGAGCGAGAGGTCTTCCCTTCGATGGTTCACTCCCCAATTGGCCACAATGGCCGGAGCTGCGCCGATCCGAAGCCAGGAGCCAGGAGCTTCCTCCAGGTCTCCCACGTGGGTGCAGGGTCCCAAGCACTTGGGCCGTCCTGTACTGCTTTCCTAGGCCACAGCAGAGAGCTGGATTGGAAGTGGAGCAGCCGGGTCTCAAACCAGCGCCCACATGGGATGCCAACACTTCCGGCCAGGGCGTTAACCCGCTGCGCCACAGTGCTGGCCCCACACGACAGCTCCCTGCTTCCCCCTCCTCCCGTCCTGAGCACGGGCCCAGAAAGCCAGATCTGACCCGCGGTTCTGCTGCTCCGCCTCGCCCTGCAGGATCAGTGACACCCCCGGAAGGTGGTGCTTGTCTTCCGGCCTGTCCGCCAGGGGCCGGCAGGACCCAAACCTCCACTGTGAGATCCGTGCCCCGCCCACCATCCTCACCCGAGCTCCTGGACACTCCTCCCCAGCTCTCCTCCCATCAGCCCCTTCACCTGCTCCTGCTCTTTGTCCAGTGGGTGCAGGAGCGTCGTGTACCTGACACTCTGCAGTGTGCACGGGTGCTGCCCGGGGCCAGCAGGCCTGAGGAGTCCGTCCCTCAGGGAGCTCCTCGTGGACATTGGGGCAGACAGAAAACAAGCGAACAGGCGTGCAGGGGGTCAGGCCTGCGCGAGGGCTGGGGAGGCAGCAGGAGTCAGGATCTGTTTTCTGTGCAGCGGGCACAGTCCCGCGGGTAAGAGATTTTTCGTGGCTGTGGTTCTGCTCAAGGTGGAAGGCAGTGGCATTCTCACTAGCAGACTCAAGGCTGCGTCGGTGCCATGGGGAGACAGGGAGCATCACCCTGGGGACCCAGCAGACCCCTGTGGAAATAATGTATGGACACACCAGTCGCGAGAGCAGAGCCTCTGCCTGGGCACCAAGTCCTACACGTGTTCCCCAGGGGACACACCCCACCCTGGGCTGGCGTGCAGGCAGGGGGAGTGAGCTGGCCAAGGGCAGGCGGGGAAGCTCTGAGGGTGGCGGCTGCCCGTGTGAGGGGCTGGGGCAGGGACAGACCATGCCGTCTCAGGAGGACCGTGCAACGTGGCTGACACAGCGCAGGAGTTGGGAAGCCACGGAAGTGTGCTTGAGTGCCTTGTAACTGTCTGTGTTCAGTCTGTTAATGCCCTGGACGTCGTCCCCACGTTTGTAGATTTAGGTGTGCAGTTCAGTGGTCCCTTGGGACACAGACGCAGTGCCCACCACAGATCTCTGCGCCACAGGGAGCCCTGTGCCCAGCTCCTCGGCTGCTCTGCCCTGGGAAGTGGCCGTGTTGCTCCCTGCTGCGTCTCATGAATGTGAACTTGATGTTCTGAAACGTACGGGGCAACCCTCTCCTCGTTCACAAAGTCTGTGCTTCCTGAGTACACGCCCTAAAACACGAGCAGGAATACTAGCATTTTGGCATCAGATAAAATACGAAAATGCAAATAGAGGGATCGTCAAGAACTTCATATAAATGCGTATTATAAGGAAAAGCTGCCTGATTTCTCCATTTTAAGAAATATTTATTTGAAAGGAGTAGTGACAGAGTGGGAGAGGCAGAGGGAGGGAGGTCTTCCATGCGCTGGTGCACTCCCCAGATGGCTGCGCGGCCAGGGCTGGGCCGGGCCAGGATTCCACCTGGGTCCCCCGCACGGGTGCCAGTGCCCATGTTCACTGCTTTCCCAGGTGCATTAGCAGGGAGCTGCAGTGGAAGTGGGACAGCCGGGACTGGAACCCACACTGCGCCACGGGATGCCGGCCTCACAGCCAGCAGCCGAACCCACTGTGCCTCAGCACAAGGCCCAGTTGCACAATTTTTTCACAAAACTAACCCTTAAATGTTGTCTCTCTGCAAGTTTTTGCAGTAGCCTCACCCTGTCTCTTTGCTGCAGCACTGGAATCAGTGCACACCTCCTCCCCGCTCAGCTGTCTCCCGAGCCGGCACAGGGCAAGCGTGGCTCTCTCCCTCAGTAGGGCACAGGAGCCCTGTAGCCAGCTGCCCCGGGCGGGCTCAGCATCGCAGGCCAGGCCCACTAACCAAGCGTCTGCACCCCCCTCCCTGGCTGCCCAGGCAAGAGCATCTCCACCATGGAGGAGTCTGTGACCCTGGACAACGGGGGATTTGCTGCCCTGGAGCTCAACAGCCGGCACCTGAACGTCAAAGGCACCTTCTCCAAGAAGAACGGGACCAGGTAGGCAGGCGGCCCCGCAGCCGAGCCAGCAGTGTCTGCCCAGGGGCCCGCTGGCCCCCCACGTGCCCCTGTGATTGCAGAAAGCAAAACATGGACGCACCTGGGCAGGGCTGAGTCCAGGAGGCAGGGCCGGCAGAGGCCAGAGCTGTTTCTGGACATTCCTAAGGATGCAAGAGGCCAGATCTCGGGGGTATAGGGACATGACCTGGACCCCTGACAGGCAGGAACTTGGCCTTCTGGTCACTCTGGGGAACTCCCGGTTCACAGGGCCTCGGATTCGGTGTCGCCGTCAGCTGCACACCCTGGGTGTGGCGGTGTGTTACGGTTTTCTGTGCTCCACGCCCTCCTGCAGTGGTCCAGATCCTGAGACGTGGGTATGCACGCAGATGAAGAAGCCACTCACCTCACTGCCCTCCTGTGGGTTTCCCAGAGCAGAGAGGGGCTAGCCTCAACTTGCCTCACAATCTGTGGGCCGTGGTCTTCTGGTCTGGGCACCCTTGACCCAGAAGGGCCTGGGTAAGCGAGTGGGGCCGACTGGTTATCCAGCTCCCTGTGAGTACACAGATCAGGAGCCTTCTGGGCTCCACCACATCAAGGCAGTGTCTTTCCTATGGGATGGACTTGACGCGGAAGTGACCCCCATCGAGCCGCAGGCCAGCAGCTGTCAGGTCCTCCCAGCCTCTGTAAAGCCCGAGAGTGGCCGCCATGGCTTCTGGTCTGGGTCTGGAACCCCGAGGCCGCCTGACTGGTGCCGAGGCCCATAATTCACAGCGGGAGACAGACCACGTAGTCTACTCACTCGGCCCTCTGCCACCACCTTCTCACAGCAGAGAGCCTTGTCTGGGGCTGCCGGGGGCCCTGGACAGCAGGAAGGCCCCTCACGGTGCCCAGGAAGAGCCAGCTGCCCATGGCCAGCCAGAGACTGCCCTCACCAGAGGTCCTGGCCCCTACTACTACAGAGGTCCTGGCGGTATTGTCATCTGGAGGCCACAGGCACAGTGCATTCCTGGGGCTGCTGGACCAGGGCCCCGGCTGGAGTTTCTTGGTCCTCTGCCGTGGGGTCTCGCAGGGCCGTTCCCAGTGTGTGGCAGGCCTCTGAGAGCCCAGCACAGGCATCTGTCTCCACTGGCCAAGGGGCCTGACGTAACGTCACGTCATCCCAACAGTGGACAGTCCCCTGCCCTTTCTGTGATGAAACCTGACCCTGGCAGGGACTCCCCTCTCCACATCCCAGTGATTAGAAGCAGGGCACAGGCCCAGAGCTCTGGTGCTGGTGGGGGGAGTCGCAGCAGCGAGGGGCCAGCTCACTGCCTACCACACAGCTAACACCCACCTGGCCCAGCGCCTGAGCCCTGCAGAAGAGCCAGGTCCAGCAGCGACTCCTCTAGCTCCCTCTGACCGGTGGGGTACAACCCACACGCCCTGGCCTGGTGCTCATAGCCTCCTCCGTGACCGTCTTCACCTGGGTCCAGTGTACCCCTCCTCCCGGGCACCCTGAAGTGCCTGGTGCTCTTGGTACTTGAGCTTCTCCAAGGCCCGTCCATGGGGGCAGAGGCTCAGGCCTTCGTGTCCCCGAGCCTATCCAGTCCCTGAGACTGTGTCCAGGAAGGGGGAGCTGTAGACGCGTCAGCTAGGCGGGGCTGGGACTCTGTCCACCTGTCAGAGCTGCGGATTCTCCCTCATTCAGACCTGCTGAAGCCAGAGGGCAGCCGGGAGGCTCAGGGAGGGGCATCTTTAGCCCAGTAACTGTGGCATCTGTCCGTCCCCAGATCCCCGCCGCGGCCCAGCCCAGGTGGGCTGCACTACTCAGACGAGGACATCTGCAACAAGTACAACGGCACCGTGCTGCCCGAGGGCGTGAATCTCAAGGAGAACTCGGCGGACGCCTCAGAGTCCGAGGTCAGTGCCCACCGTGCCCCCAGGGGCCAGCGGCCACCACTCCCCACTTGCAGTGAGAGATCCCCACCCCATGTGAGCCACACGCCGCCCCCTGGGGTAGGAGACCCAGGTGAGAACACAGCCACCCCCCAGGCCAGGCGAGGCTGGAAGAGCCGACCCCCACGTCCTGGAGCTGGAGTAAGAGACGGGCGAGGCTGGGGCTCCCGAGGGCCCCGGCAGAGCAGAGCGCCCTGCACGGAGCGCCTGGCGGGCCGTGCACGTGCCAGCCAGGTGCTCACGTACAACGTACAGTCTCATCTGGTCCTGGAGGAACTGGGAACTCGGCCCTAGAACGGTGCCGATGGACCAGGCCTAGCAAAGAGCGTTCACTTCCCAGGACGCGGCGCTCACCTGCAGGCCTGTGTGCTGTTTGCTTTCAAAGGTGAACCTGACAGCTTCTCAGGTCTCCATGAAACCTGATAGTCTAAGCCCCAGAGTGAAGCGCACCGCGGCCTGCAGGCTGGATGGGAAAGGGGACCACCAGGCATGACGGGACTCCAGCCGCCTCCCCAGCCTCCCCACGGAGCTGCCTGGCTCGCTTCCGGGTGCAGAGGGGCGTGTACACAGGGGTGGGTCAGGGTCAGTTCAGATTTGAGTCTAGAGAAATGGGGCCTCGGAGGGAGTTCAGCCTCCAGTCGTGCCCACACAGCGGGCCCGGACTCGGCGCAGCACAAGGGATACGTCGGGGGGGGGGGGGGCAGCCGTGGGGGTGCGGCACGTCCTGTCCTCACGTGTTCTGCCCAAGTCCTGCACTGACCAGCACCAAGCACCAGCGGCTGCAGCAGAGGTGGGAGTTTGTCCCGCTCCGTCCTTTTTCCTTTCAGATGTGCCGAGCTTTGTAAGGGGCGAAAATCAAGCCATTTGCTGGACACGTAGGCCTGCCCCACCTCTTGGCATTCATGCTCTAAATCAATATTTCATCTGAAACCAGTCTCACCTTCATTTTGACCTGAATTCGGGCCTTATTGAGCCCCGAGGCTCTGGACAATGGCTTCTCTCCCACCGCGGTTTGTAAATGAACTCAGGGAGAGACAGCAGGTGGGAGCTGCCGAGCCCTGGCTCCGCTCAGCGCTGCGTGTGTTGACTAAGGATGCCAGGTCTGCTGCCTGCACCATGTCCTAGGGCTGGCGGCAGCGGGCAGCCGTGCAGGTACTCGGGAAGGTGCCGTCGCCTCACCTTTTCCTGGGGTTGCCAGGAAAGCCGGGAAGAGCTGCCTGCCTTCCGAGAGGAGGTGGCAGCCGGTGTCCTGCCGCTCGGAGCAGAGGCAGCGCCTGGCCCTCGGGGAGGGGAGCACAGCACCCAGCAGGCCTCTCTCTGCCTTCAGAGGCGCATCTCAGGCAGCCGCCTCACCTCCACTGTGGGCACAGTAGGAGTGCGCGATTCTCACGGCCGTGTGCGGAGCTGCAGATGGCGCCGTATGTCCTGAGCTCTCCCCGTGGGCCAGGTCTGGGGCAAATCTCCACTCTGTGCTAACCCCCGCCCTGCCAGGCGGGATGAGGCGCCTCGCTGTTCTGAGACTGGGGTTTGTCCGCAGTTCAGCCTAGCACCCGCCCATCTCCAGTTCTGCCCTGACCGCTGACGGCACATCGGCGGTAGCCGGGGCGCTCTGTCCTTGTCAGGTTCTGTCACTGTAGCTGAGGACTGCGAAGAAACAGCTGTAGTTCCACGCACTTTTCCCTGCGATTTTTCTTATTTCTACTCTGATCTTCAATTCCTTCTTTCTGCTTGCTTGAGTTTACTTTTTCTAGTTTGTTAACTAGGAAATTGGGGTTGTTGACTTGCGACCTTTAATTCTGGTAAATGCAGGTTGAATATTGCACTGTGTTTGCTGGGTCCCGCACACTTGAGTGGCACCGAGGACACATATCCAACCACTCACTGGTCCACTCACTCCCCAAAATGTCCAGGAGCCAGAACTCAGTCCAGGCCTCCCACACACCTGGCAGGGACCTGCTAATACCCCCCAGGTGCACGTCGCAGGAAGCAGCACTTAGAATCCGATTTTACTATGTTGTGCTTTGGTTTCACTCATTTCGGGTGTTTCCTAAGATCCTTTATTCTACTACATGTGGTCAGAGAGACATTCCTTTTACGTTCCCCATCCTTCCTAGTGTCGAGTCTTGTTTCATGGTCTAGCGTATGGTCCGTGTGGGAGCACATTCCTTATCCACTTGAGAAGACATCATACCCCACCGTCAGAGTTCTCTAGATGTGTGAGGTCCGGCTGATCTACAGCCGTTCCTCCCGTGCCTCCCCCCTGTGACGACGCATGCACTAGTGCGCGGACGTGACTGTTGTTGGGCTGTCTCGTCGGCTCTGGCGGTTGGTTCCATGTACTCTGGGGCTCTGTTGCGAGGTGCTTAGCTGTGCATGCCGGTTGCGTGTGCTGGATTAGCGTGTGTCCTTTTAGCTTACAGCATGCCCCCCTTAGTCCCAGTAACAGTCCTTGTCTCCAAGTCTGTTGTGCCTGGCATTGATATGGTTACTCCGGTTCTTGTGGTTACTGGAATGTACTTGAGTGTGGTGTCCATCTGTTTACTGTCAACCTGTGTCTACATCCAGAAGTCTCTGTGGGCAGCCTCTGTTGGGTCACACTGTCCTGCCTAGAACCTGGGTTGTCCATCCACTCTTACCTACGTAATTACTGAGAAGGTAGATTCATGTCTGCCATTTTGATATTTAGCTTCCATGTCTGCTATCTTCATTTTTCCATTCTTCATTTTTGTTAAATGGATTTTTCTAGCACATCATTTTTTTTAAAAGATTCTATTTATTTATTTAAAAGAGTTACACACAGAGAGGAGAAGCAGAGAGAGAGGGAGGGAGGGAGGTCTTCCATCTGCTGGGTCACTCCCCAATTGGCTGCAACGGCTGGAGCTGTGCTGATCGGAAGCCAGGAGCCAGGAGCTTCCTCCAGGTCTCCCACGTGGGTGCAGGGGCCCAAGCACCTGGGTCATCTGCTGCTTTCCCCGGCCACAGCAGAGAGGGGGATCAGAAGAGGAGCAGCCAGGACTCGAACTGGCGCCCACATGGGATGCCGGTGCTTCAGGTCAGGGTGCCACAGCGCCGGCCCCTAGCACACCATTTTAACTTCACTGTTTTACTTTAAGTCTTGCAGTGACTTCTGTCACTGGCTGGCTCCGGTATTAATGTCCACTTTACATCTACACTGAACTTCAGTGCCGTGTAGACGCCTCGGTTTCACACAGCTGTATTTCCTCCTCTTTTTGTGCTCCTATCACAGCCGCCTTACCTGGGCATGTTAAAAACAGGACACACCGTTACTTACTACTGGAACAAGTGCGTGCTGCCCATTTCGCCACGGCTGGCCTTCTTTACTGTTTCCAGTCTTCTGTGTTTCCTTGTGCTCGGGTGACCACCGTGTCATGTCCTCACCCTCGGGCCGTTCCCGTTAAGTAAGCCGCAGGCTGTAGGCGCAGTCCCGAGCAGTACGGTCAGGTACCTTTCACGTGACGGCTTTCCAACAGCTGTGAGGAAGGTGCGTCACTGCGGTCTTTAACAACCGCCGTGTGACGCCCTTGCTGTGCCCGCCGTCCCCGCCAGGTCTCGGTTGCCCTCAGCCCGGCACACTGTCTTGGGAGGCAGGTCGTCTAGCAGTGAACGTGTCAGTTTTTACGTATTTGAGAATGAATTTCATTTTCATTTTCCTCACTTACTTTTAATTGCCTGAAAGACAGAAAGATACAAACAGAACTCTTCATCCATCTGCTGACTTAGTCCCCAGATGCCCACAGAGCTGGGGCTGGGTCCCACCAAAGCCAGGAACTGGGACCTGCAGCTGTCGGGACTCGAGTGCTCGGAGCCGTCACCTGCGTGCCGGGGGGTGCGGCAGCAGGAGCAGAGCCGGGACCCAGCGCAGGCGCTCCGAGGCGGGGCACTCGGGCTGCTGTGCGAACACCCACCCACCCCCATCTTTTTTGAAGGTTCTGGTGAGTTCTGTTCTCATTGAGCGTTTTCCCCTCACCCCGTTGCCCTCCGCGTCCAGGTCTGATTAGACGTCGGCTGTGCGTGGCTCTCCTGTACACGGTGAACTTTCTCTGGCTGTTCCGTCATCTCTGTCGTTCCCGGTGTGGCTATGGAGTGGGGTGGGTCTCTCTCCCTTTTTAACATAATTCCTGTCTCCTTATTATCATTTTCCATTCGGTGTGACACACTTATCAGACCTCCCTTTAGTGCTTAAGATGCAGTTTCCTTTAGTTCTTTGGAAAAATCAGCACCACCAGCTGGAAGCCTTCCCGCCAGGGCCCTGGGCAGCTGCTGGCTTTGTTTCTTGCGGATGCAATGCACTCTCCTGTTGCGTCTTTAAATCCGGATCATTTCACTCCTGCTTACACGCTGCAGCGATTCCGCGTGCCGAGAGCTGTCCCTCAGAGGTCACTGCTGAGATGTTCGCTTGGCCACGCGGCTGGACTCGCCCCCGAGATCCGCTCTCCTCTCCAGCCTGAACTCGGCTCCCACTCCTCGGAGGGACGGCCTGGGCCCTGCAGAGCCCCCCGGCCACCGGGGCGGCCGTGTTCTGGCCAGGCGCTCCCGGCCTCTCTCTCGCATCCCCCCTAAGAGCCTGGACGGCCCTCCGCCGTGGGCACTGCACCCAGCCATTGACCCCACTCCGCTCACCGGCATCCCTGACCGCATCACGGAGACACACTGCTCCGGCCTCGGATCCAGCCGACAGCCCTGCTGCTGTGGCCAGGTCGCGCCAGTCTTTGAAACATTCCTCTTGGTTTCGGCTGCCTCTCTCTCGGCTCTCTCTTTACACTTGCAGCCGGTTCACTGCTTCCCTGCCTCTAGGAAGTGGCCTGGACTTCAATTCGGGTTTAGGGTATTTCCCCTCCGAGGCATAACCGCGGGGAAGCCAGGGTTCAGGGCTGGGGGGTACCCTGTTGCCCAGGTTCACCTCTGTGGGTGACGCAGCATGGATGTAGGACAGCATCCACGGAGCTGGCTTCTCCTGCCCGCGCCTTCTGCAGCGTCCAGGGAGAGGGGTCAGTGCCGTCTCAGCTCAGAGACCGCCTCTGCGAAGCCGACACTTCACCAGGAAAACAGGGACGCTGTCCTTCCCCCCCACCCCCCGCCGCCGGGATATATTTTAAACCATTTTCAGAAATATCACTAAAAAAAGGAAAGAAAACCTGTGAAAATTCTGTGACTCACAGGTGCATACGAGCCTGCCTGATCAGAGCGCTCCGAATTAGTGTCCCGTGACCCAGGCCGTGGCGCCCTCCGTCTCCCTCATTAGAAATAAGATGGTTTGTTGCTGCTTTCTCGCTCCGCTGTTTGAATCACATCTTAAAAAAACTATTTTTGAAATCCATTGTTCAAAATCCCGCTCCAGCCCACTAACAGCAAGCCTCTCACGCCTAATTAATTCCCTAGTAAATTTGGGAGTTCATCGTGCGAGCACAGTGCCCGGCCCGTTCAGCTTGCTAGCGGCTGGGTAGGCACCTGTGCGCCCTGACGCTGCATCCGCTCATCTCTGCTTCCTCGGTTTCCTGGGAAACGCATCACACGAGAACTCTGAAAACCTCCCCGCGTTTCCTTCTTGTCAATACTCCGATGCATCCCCATTAAAAATACTAACGTCGCAGGACCGCAAACCGCGCAGGCAGCGGAAGTGACGCCGCATGGGGCCCTTGCCTGTGCAGCCAGTGCCGACTTCTGCTCCGGCTGTCTCGTGGCTGGGACGTTCCCCCCAACCCTCCCTAAATGAAGAGCAAACCAGAGAGGCCTCTCTCGGTCTCCTGTCTGCCCCTTCCGTGCCCCTGTTTTGTTCTCTCAACCTGACTTTCAAACCCACCCGGCTGAGTCTGGTGGCTCCAGGCTCACAGCCTCCCGCACCGTGAACTCCTTCCCAGGTGAAATGCGCAAACTCCCAGGGCAGGACGCCATTGGCTCGGCCCGAGTCGCACGCTCACCCATGAGTCCATCGGTGCTTCCTGGGAGGTGAGCCCTTCAGCCCGTGTGGGCAGGGCAGGGCAGGGCAGGCGTGCTGCCTTCCGGGAAGGGGCCAACACTGCTCCAGACCCCAGCACTGCAGCAGCCACCCCCAGTGTGTCTCCTCCCAGGCCTCCCCCTCAGCTTCCCTGTTTGTCACAGCCCCTCCCCTGATCCCCCGTGACTTCCAGACCCTCCCCTGATCCCCCGTGACTTCCAGACCCTCCCCTGATCCCCCATGACTTCCAGCCCGTTGGTTAAAGAGCTTCGCGGTGCCCTACAGCTACTGAGAAGCCTGGGATTAAGTGACATTTTATGACTCACGTGAGCGTGCACACTGGTGTGGGCCTTTAGATGCCTTCATTCTCTACATACTCTGTTAGAGTCCTGGGGCTGGGACCCCTGCCAGACCCCCCCAGGTCCCTGCTGGTCATGAGCCCTGCGCTCTCCAGCCGCACAGCTGGAGGAGCGGGCAGGCGCGGTGTGAAGAAGGCACAGCGATGCCTGACGTTCCCCGAGTGGCCGCTGGCCGTGTCCACAAAGAGTGCATGTCCCACACGCTCTGCCCCGCCCACCACCACCCAGACTCGTCTAAGACCCACACACGACACCAGGGGCTGGCGCTGTGCCCTGTCACCACACGGGCTGAGTGGCCTCTCCGTCATTTTGGACTCAGACCCTCGTTGTGGGTCTGGCCCCCGTGACGGTGAGCCCGAGGCCACGTGCATGTGTGGCTCTCGTTCTGCCGGACACAACGTGGAGACTGAACCCACGAGGAGGCTCCCTTGGGCAGACAGAGCTGAACTGAAGGACCCACAGTGGCTGAGGGTGAAGCCCTGCACGAGAAAGCTGCACCCACCCCTACCACTCTGATGTCCACCGAGGCTGAGGCCACGTCCGCTAAGCCTGGGCTGTTCAGAGGCGAACCTCGGAGGCCCCGCTCCTCTCGGCTGAGCGTGGCACCCGCCCTCATTGGCCTCGCGTGCGCCGAGCTCTACCGCTGAGCCTGCCCACGACCTCCAGGAAACCGGTGGGGGGTGAATCTTAAACACAGGTCTCTTGCCTGACCCCCCAGGCTGGGTGTATGTAGGACTCCCGCAGCCTGGTCTGGGAGTGGATCATGAACACGCGGCAGTTCCCGTAGAGCGGGGCCGCCTAGTGGTGAACCGTGAGAAGACGCATAGCCGGGTCAGGGCAGCTGAGGGCTGGCTCAGCGCAGACCAGAGGAGGCACCGAGACAGCACTTACTCTTCAAAGTGCCTGGGTGTTGGAACCGTGGGGACATCGCTTGTGGACCAGAAATGCCCAGAGCCGGGAGGGGACTGTGGGCTCTGGGGAGGCTCCCACCCAGCTGGCCCCTAGAGCCCTGTGAACGGCCCCACGTCACAGTGCTCATGCAAGCGTGTGCGTGTGGAGGGAGTCTCTAGTGAGTGACAAGTGTGCACCACGACAGAGCCACGCTGTTCCCACCATCATCAGAGAGGGGAAGCAGAGCCCTCAGGCCCTGGCTACTCTCGGGCCTGCATTTCCATGAGCGCCTACTAAATACGAGGCAGCGGCTGAGACTCTGTGCCAGAACGGGGGCAGCTGGCGTGGAACATTCTGCGGAGTCCCCACTCCGGCAGTGCAGATGTCTGTAGCCTGTGGCCAACGGCCCCGGGGGTCCCTGGCCTCACCGGGCAGCCCACAGGACGAGGGCCTCTGGCTCAGCGCTGACACGCTCATCACTGACCCGCTCTCAGTCGCCAGGGACATCACTGTGGTTCCCTGGGCCTGGCAGAGGGAGAGGCGGGCTGGTGGGCATTCTCCCTTGTCAAGGACTTACCCTCTGTGGCTGGCGGGGGCCGTAACTGGGACCACGGCCTCCCATCCTCCGTGCACAGGACACTGCCACGTCGTGCCCGCAGGGCCGCGGGGGCTCTGAGGCTACACAGGCTTGGGCCCCCCAGACCCACAGGGTCAGGAGCATGAGAGCCCCGGCTCCCACTCCCAGAATGTCACTGATGGTTCTCAGACAGCACCTAGAGCCGTGCAGGCGACACCCTGGAGGGAGAGAAGAACAGCAGGTGCACCTGACCCCTTGAGGTCCCTGGAGGCTGTGTGGCCAGAGGGCCCAACACGCCACTGTCCCCCGACCAGCTCTGTCATCCCAGCAAGCACCTTAGAAGGAGGCGCGCTGCCCTGCCACGATTCTCTGTCCCCTCCAGGGTCCCGAAGGGCTGGCCAGCTCCCACAGACAGACCGCTCGGGGCCTGGCGGAGTCTGAACTGACCCTGGGGGACAAGGAGGCACAGTTGTGCCCGTGAGTTTGGGAAGCAGCTTAGAGCCAGGGCCACCTCTGGGGTCCCATCCGCAGCAGGTGGCTCCTGAAGGGGCTCGGACAGCCCCTGGCCCCCAGGGGAGGGTCCCAGTATCAGACAGCGTCCGATAGGATGCGGCACGCGCTCACCAGAGAAACCAACTTCCGCTGTGCCTTCCGGTCGGCCCAGACAACCTGGGACGTTCCGCCTGGAGGAAATGGACAGCAGACAGGCGTGCCGGGGTCCTGGTGGAGGCTGCCATTTCCTTCCTAGAAAAAGAAAAAAAGAGAAACCCTGAAAAGGGGCCATCAGACACGGGGACGCCCTGTGCAGCCTCACCCGGCCGGTGGGCGGGGGTCCTGTCTGGGCGCCCACTCGGGCGGCTTCACATCTTGGCCCTGCCTCTGCGAGGTCTCCCTCCCAGGAGGTGGCCCCAAGGAGGGGCAGTCGCTAAGGACGGGCCCCGCCCCACGCTGCACCTGTGCGCTTGCTCTCTCGGGCCTGTAGCTGCCCGCATCTCAGGGCCTCCAGCACTCCCCTTAGTCTTCCATGTTCTGCTCTAGGACCACAGAGGGGCCCCTTCCTGGAAACAGGCAACACCCACCCCGAGTGAGTGACCAACCCTGCTGTGGTCACTTCCTGCTTCCTCCTGGGCCCCAGCAGGGCTCCCCCTGCTGCCCCTCTGCTCACAGCCCCCCTCCTGCCGCAGGTTTCCGACTCGGACTACGAAGACGCGCCCCCCAAGCACTCCTTCGTCAACCACTACATGAGCGACCCCACCTACTACAACTCCTGGAAGCGCCGGCCGCCCGGCCGCGGCCCTGCACCGCACAGGTACGAGGCCGTGGCGGGCACGGAGGCGGGCCCGCACCTGCACCCGGTGGTCACCACACAGAGCTACGCCCCCGCGCCAGGCGCCCGGACTCCACTCACTGGCTTCTCCTCCTTCGTGTGAACGCCACGCCGCAGCCCCGGAGTCCATTTTGTTAAGACAATCAACTCCGGCCACCGCTGAAGTTTTTGTTTAAAGGAATCCTTCTGATAAGTGATGATCTTACCGACTCGTGAACACTAGATTTCAATTAGAAGGTTTTTTTAAAAGCTTTTTGTAACACGCTGCAGGAAGCAGTTTCTTTCTTTCTCTTTTCTTTTTAAGAGAAGGTCTATCTCACTGGTGCAGGGCAGGCAGCCCTGGGCCATCAGGATCTCCCCCAGGGCCGGCCGGGCATCCATCCCAGAGACACTAGGAAGGCGAGCGGGCGAGCGCGCGGGGCCAGGCGAGGGCGCAGGCACCGGGCTGCCTCCTCCTCTTTCTACCTCCTCGTCCGAGAACCGGCCGGCTCGCAGCCCTGCACCGTCTGCATGCCCAGCCCCCCGCGCCCTCCCGGGTTTCCAGAGCAGCTGTCCACCCGGGGCTCGGCACCATCTGTGTCTGGACCGCTCTCACCCAGCAGACGGTAGGCGAGGAGTCCGCCAAGGCTGCGGACAACACAGCCGGCAGGCAGCAGCCCCGACCCCGACGCGGCGCACCGGTCACGGGCGGCGGCTCCTTCCTTCCTTCCTTCTTTTCTTCCTTCCTTCCCTCCTCAGCCAGACAGTGCGGGAACAGGCACCTCCCCGTGGCCAAGACACCGCGATGGCCAGGGCGGGCTCACGCCACCCTGAGCACTCGCACACGGCCAGGTCCAGAGAGAGAGCGAGCGAGCCAGCAAGCCAGCGTTTGCGGGATTGCTTGTTGTGTAGGAAGTGTGCATTGTTAACCAGAGTATTTTTTTAAACCTTTTTATCTTTTTTTAAAATGTGTCACATGAAATGAACGCGTCTTTGCTGTCTCCTGGTGCCTTTTTATTAATCGTTCAGCTTTGTACGTGGGAAAGACAAAAGCGACAGTGTCTCCAATAAAGCCACGCAGCCCTGAGAAACCCGCTGCCGGTCTCCCAGCCGCCTCGTACCACCGGCAGACCTCCCTGCCCCTCGCTCCCCCGCTGCCGTCCCCGCCCCGGCCCAGGCCAGCGTGTAGCCTTAACAGGTTTTCTTAATTGCCATCGCTTAATTTTTTTTTAGCCACATGAAAACAGTACTAACTTCTCTGAAAGACTCAGAGTCCAGGCCGCAGCCACGCCTCCTGCCCACGCGCTGTGTCTGCAGCAGGTGGCCGCGGCGCAGTGGCCAACACCCCGCACGGCCCCGGTCTGGATGTCCCCGGACTGCTGCCGCCGCCACTGGCGCCTGTGCCCCCGCCCCCGCCCGGCAAGCAGGAGTGTGACATTCCCAAGACTCAAGACTGCTCTGCCGACACCCCCAGTGCATGGCAGAACGGGGGGTGCCGTCCTCTCTGGTGGCGTCCTCTGTCCCCTGAGGGCGGGGACAGCCGGGTCAGGTGGCCACTGCCACCAGGGAGCGAGCCTCGGGCCATGTGTAGAAAGTGTGGCCTCTGTGTGGCTGGTTCCTCTGTGTGCCTCTGTGGGACGAGTGTGGCCACTGGCCCCATACTCGCTGGGGTGACCCCTGCAAAATCAAGGAGCAGTGTCTGGGGTGAGAAACGCCTTCACGGTTTTTCCGGAGTTAGGGGGGTTCTGCCTGCCTCCTGCCTGCCCTCCCTCCATTTGCTGAGTGGAGGAGGAGATGTTCTAAACCAAAAATCCTACACACTCTGCCCAAAGCCACTTGCGCACGAGTCACGGCCCATGGGAAGGGACCTGCGCCACAGAGCCGCCCGCCCTCTCGCCCCGGGAGGGTGGTGCGCCCTGGGAACCACAGCGCTGACACTTGACCTTCACGAGGACAGGGCGCAGGGAGCGCGGCCCCGCCCTGCACCTGACTGTGCTCTCAAGCCTTAGGGACGGTGTTGGTGACAGTCGGCGTGCAGCTCTGATTTGCTCTTGGGTTTGTATGACAACACAGCACTTTCTCCCAGGCTCCCGTCTCCTGTCTTCTGTGTGCGGCAGACTGCTGGCGGCCCTGCTCTGCGCTGTGCCCGGCTGAGCACAGCCTCTCGGAGAAGAGGGCTGTGGGGAGGCGTCGTCGGCCCCCGGCCTCCCACCTGCAGGGAGCAAAGAGCCACGTACGATAGGAAAGTGGGTACGGGGTCTTCATCGCAGGCCAGGAAAGGGACAAGCAGAATTCTGCGAGCGTGCTGAGCGTCACGGCTCCCGGTGCGGACCAGCTGCCCCTCAGGAGGGCGTGGCTGGGCATCGGGCACCCCAGGGCACAGGTGATTCGGGAAGGGAGAGGCGGCAGCCTCCTGCCCACCAGCCCCTGCGCCCGGCTCTCAGGCGCCCTCCAGGCTGCTCCGTGCAGGCTACAGGGAGCGCTCACCCTCCCCTGCCCGGGCCGCGGGGCTCCTGAGACAGCAGCCGCCAGGCCACTGCCCGGAGAAGCGCCCACTGGTCGGGGAGGGGGACACCTTTGACGCTGCGCCTGCGCCTGGCCGGGGTCGTGTGTCCCGGCTCTCGCGCCCTCTTGGCCCACAGCACCCCTCTCTCCCGGTGAGCCATCGGTGCACACCAGAGCGTGGCCCTCCCTCGCCCGGCGCCCCTCTGCGAGTGGGAGCGCTGTGCACCGAGCTGAGCCAGGCCACCCATCCCAGAGCACTGAGGACCCCGCCCCCGCCCGGTGGGAGGGCTCTGGGTGGCAGGGAACACGTGGGGCCACTTCCCTACCTCTGGGGAGGCTTCCCAAAGCAGCCTGCAGCTGGTGTGGGCAGCCTGGGCCTGTGACAGCCACGGGGCGGGCAGGAGGGCCAGGCTCCCCCCCCCCCACCGCTCCCCTGCCCGGCCGCAGGACGTCCTCTCGGGCAGTGGCCAGACCGCCGCCAGGCCAACTCAGCGGGACGCCTGCTGGTTCTGGAAGCTCCCAGGGGGCCCAGCACAGCCACAAATCCGGGGTTGGGCAGAGGGGAGGCTGCCTGCTCGGAGAAGGGGCCGGGCCGGGGGCAGGGCGTCTGGGGGCTCTGCGGGCCTTGCTGGCTCTGCCCTCCTACTCCAGACGAGCGGGGGTGAGAACACTTCTGCCTTTCTCCAGCATTCTCCCGGGAAGGAAAATCCCCACGCTCCCCGGAAGGAGCAGCTGCGCATGCGGTGGGCAGGTCTGCCTTCCCTGCGTCTGCTGCACAGAGCCGCAGCGGGCCCTCTGCAGGGCAGGGCACCCCAGAGATGGACTGTCGGGCCCTGTGGGCGTCCACCACAGGGAGGTGGCAGGGGAGGGCCCAGGCCGAGCAGAGGCAGCGGTCGGTCGGCAGCTGCCTGCTCTCACGAGGATT